ACAGGCTTGGCGGCATGCTGCTGCAGCTCAGCAAGGAACATCTCATTCACGGCGGGCTGAACGAGAATGACGTCTTTTTTCGTGAGTCGACTTACGAGCACACTAGGCTCGTGTGACGTACGATGACTCATACTACATCGCAACATTGCTTGGTCGGGCTGCAGAGTACACCACGCCCGGTTGGATGATGTGGAACTTCCTGGTTGGAGCCATGGTAGCTGGGTGTCCGCTCGTGCTGTACGAGTAAGTGTCGCGCTTCGCAAGAGTGCGTCTCGAGTGTATCGCGGAATTGCTCATGTTTGACCTCTGGTGTGGGCACAGGGGCTCGCCACTCAAGCCAGCCTCGGTGTTGTGGGACTTGGCCGCGAAGTACGGTATCACCGTCTTTGGTACCTCGGCCGCTTATCTGGGTGCCCTGCAGAGATCCGGATACATCCCCAAAGCGGCGCTTGGTGACAAGCTCAAAGTCAGACAGGTGCTTAGTACAGGAAGTCCATTGAGGGCCGAGCTTTATCCTTGGATCATTGAGAATGTGGGGCCTGTGCTCATTGGAAGCATCACTGGTGGAACTGGTGAGAGCGTGGTAGAGCCAACATGTGGTTTGGCAGAACTGATCCGCACCTCGTCTTGCGATGGCCAGACATATGTTCCCTAGTGAGGATGAGGAGCAGGCGTACTGTCGCGTGAACAAGCACCTTCGCTGACGCACCCCTCACTCTTCGCGCCGCAGTTTGCGGGCCACAACGAGGCGCTACCTGTCCGGGCAGGAGAGCTGCAAGCACGGAATCTCGGCATGAATGTGGATGTGGTGGATCAGGATGGCAAGTCTGTACCTCGTGGCGGCGAAGGAGACCTGGTCTGCAAGAGCCCATTTCCGGTTCAGCCTCTTGGCTTCTGGGGCCAAGATGAGAAGAGGTATTTTGAAAGGTGAATCGTTGATGCTCTGATCTACGAGGAAACGCTCCACTGATCATGGGATCGACGCATGCATGCGGCTTTTCAGCTATTATGCCACGATTCCCGGCGTTTGGTATCATGGAGATCATGTCAGTCTCACCCTCAATGGAGGTTTGGTCATGCTCGGCCGAAGCGACGCCGTGCTCAACCCTGTGAGTCTCATCTTGGCGGGCGCACCATGGCGTCGCGCAGCTACAACTCCATTTCTTCTGATTGAGTATCACCTCTACAGGGCGGAATTCGCTTTGGCTCATCGGAGATTTACGAAGTGCTGGAGGCCAACAAGCACGTCCATCCACTAGATACAATCGAGTCGAGCGTAGCCGCCGCTCTCAAGCTTCCAACGGGCGACGACGAAGTCGTGGTGCTCCTTCTAGTCCTGCAATCCGACTGCCAGGCTGCAAAAGAAGGGAAAGCTTTCGAGGAGCTGGTCAAGAGTGTCAAGGACGTCGTGAGGAGTCAGAGGAGTGCTAGACATGTGCCTCGATTTGTCAGGCGTGTACAGAATGTGCCGTTGACTCTGAATGGGAAGGTGAGCTGCATACGTGCAAGGAGAAGAGGAAGCGGATGCGCCGCTGACCAGACCGCGACCCTTTCTATGACTTTGCGCTCAGCTCTCGGAAGTGCCAGTCAAGAAATGTGAGTCGAAGTAGCGAGCATCGAAGGTACGGACTTTCAAGCGGTCTTATTTCGGTCATCGTTGCCCCCTAGTACTCAATGGCGCGTCGCTGTCCAGTGTCAATTCTTCAACGCTCCAAAATCCGGTACGTTGCAGTGACACGCCACAGAGGCGCTGTGCATCCCATTTAGACGGATTTGCGCTGCTTGTGTTTCCTGTTATTGATCGGACAGAATCCCGCCTCTTTCTGACAGGCTGTCCTAGAAGAATATGTAGAGATTGGACAAGAATTAAGGCGAGAGCTGCAAGGCTCGTCTGCATAGCGACCTGGCCCCCGTTCTCTCACAACCGCTGCGGCAAGTGGTCAACATTGTAAACATTGTTATTCGACTCTATATCCAATCCATGTTGGCATGTCAGACGGTGCGAAACGGTACAGCGAAGCTGGGTCAGCAAAGCTGAGTCGAGTCGACCGGAGACGCGCTGCGAAACCTGTATCATTTAGGTGTAAAGCAGATCGCGGACTTATTGCAGGCATCGGCGCTGAAGAGCTAGCAGCCGCTCACGATGCCAAGCTCATGGGAAATGCGCCGTTTGGCGCGGTTTCCCTCGTTGCTTCGTCAGTGGCTGTCGATGCTGTGAGGACACTACGACATCAAATGAAGCTACACAGGCCGAGCGCCGCATCAGGTGTCGGGAGAGCGGTCGGTCAAGCGCACGGCTTGATCGCGGTGCCGGGTTGCTGAAGGTAAAGATGCTCGGACGACCTGTGCGGTGCTCCGTCATGGGGTAAAGGCTGGCGTCACGATCGTGTCCCAGCGCCGATCGGTTGGATGTAAGTTGTCGACAGGGTGAGGTTAGGAGCATGGGCCTCGAGAATGAGGAGGACTGTTGATGGATTCTTTAATGCCCACTCCACGAATCATGGTGCCCCCACAGAACGGTTGGATTTCTGCACGCTTGGAAACCTGGATGTCTGAACGCGAGCTTTCAAGACGGTCGGCCTAGTGTCAGCTCCAACGACAGCTTCTCTCCTCCCTTCTCAGGTCCCTCGGTCGCTGGTTCCGACGAGAGACCTCGATGAGGTCGTGCACCGAGAAGCTCCAACGAGGCCGGCTGTCGTCTTGAGGAGCTTCCGCTTTCCCTTACGCTGCCGCCTTGAGGGAACAGCTCAAGCGTTTGTCTCTTGCGATCTTGCGTTGCGATACTAGCCAAGCTGCCGCGAAGCGGCCTACCATTGGCACTCGCGTCATCGAGATCATTTTGAGTACGACTCGTACCGCCCGGCGGTTTGCTCTTAGTTCGACCTGATGTGCCGCTCGCCTCAGGTCGACTCAATTCCCATAGTGCTCTGTCGGGGTACTTGAGCGGTGCCCCTCGTCTCGGCTTCGGCTTCGGCACGACCGCCCTTTCTTTCTTCGCCGGCTCCTTTCTCTTGGGTTCCGCTTTGACAGCCTGCTCAAGAGATTCCACGTATTTGCGCTGAGCTTGGCGAATCGCTTCGATGTATTTGACTTGGAAATTTTCCGAAGCCTGCAGAGGCGGTGTGCCAGGGAGCACCGCCGGACTGCCACCCGTAAGTGCTGAAAGTCGGTGCGCGTATGGCAGCGCGCGGTAGCGCGGTGCTTGGATCGATGAGGCCGAAGCGCCGGTGAGTGGAGTGCTAAGCCGGTCACGCCCTTCAGGGGTGATATGCGGTGTGTCCTCCGCCGTCGAAGGTTCGCTTTTGATCATACTAGACAATTTGGCCTTTTTGATTTGGCGAGGGAGCTCGACAGATTCTGCTGGGGGAACTTCGTCGGACGTGGGTTTAACCCTATGAAGGCCCGCTTGCGAAGGACTCGATGGCCTAGACACCTGGGGTCGAGTCAATTGCGCGCTCTCGATAGCTTCAGACTTGACAGCTTGATTCGTGGGGACTGGGGAAATGCAAATAAGCTCACTGATCAAAAGGCTGGATCGCGCTCAAACAAGATGGCCTGTATCATCACTTACTTGCACTACCAGACCGATCCAGCACGCTCTGCGGCGAGCGGAAGGCCGAGTCGTGGGGCGAGTGATTTAGAAGTCGTTCCGGCCAGACGTTCGCACCGCGGAAAACCGTCACAGGATGCAAGAATGCACCCCGACGAGCGGTCGGCCTTGTAGCTTGCACGACGTCTGCGTTCCATTGTGACCGGCTTGCCTGTGCGTGCTCCAGGGCTGCCTCGGCTTGACCGAGCAACCCTCTTCTGGAAAGAAGTCGCTGGTGCTCGAATTCCTGCGATGGGACATCTAGTCTCTCCGACAGACGCTGCACCACATAACGATGCAAAGCTCAGCAGCGTGAGCAGCGAATTGACTGAGTAGCACACTCACGAAAATGACGGGCTGGCCTTCTGCAGAGATCTGTAGTACCCCAAAAGCTAGTGCCGAGATAGCTATTGTGAGAGGAGAGACGAGTAGAGCTTGCGAAAACATTGTCAGGCGCAGAGGAGCGGACATCCGAGCGTGAATTGATGCACACAAAAGGTGTAAAGGAAGGAGAGCAAGATGAATAACGTAGAAGTAGATGACGAAGTTGGTGGACATCCTAGAAAGGCCAAGGAGCACGGTGGCGAAACGTTCGATTTCAAACGGAGCCACGCGAAGCCAGCTCCTTTTTGAGGCAACCAGTGGATAGCAGCACAGCAGAGCCAGCTTGCAGCGCGAACATCAAAGCTTTCAATTTTGCCACACACACTCTGAAGCAAAGCCGGAAAATGCTCTTCATCGCCTCGCGTCGCACGTCAGGGAAAGACTGATCTTCCCACTTATCTGGGCTTGTGTCTGGCTGCCCCACACTCACCCTTCTGCAGGCTAAGAGCTGCGAGCAAAGCGCGTGGCGGCATGTGTCAAATCACAAATCACCAATGGGAGTGGCGATCGCGCCTTTGGTTACTTTCCCATTTTGACCCGCCACCAGACTGACCTCTATCTCTTCCAGTCGCAGTTGCGGCTCCCTATTCACAACGTGAAGGCGCAGCGTTGCGTGCTCGTTCACGCCATTTCGCGACTTTTGTCGAGCTGGAGATCGCCCCCACCCGGACCCGCGACCCGTTGCTCCATGCAGTACTGCCCGCCTAGCTTGCCACCTGTTGGCTTTTGAAAGTCGTGCCGCCTCTCGTGGGCGCATGACCTTCTCGCTCAGACTTGTGTGGGCGACGCCGTGAAGTTCAGAAGCGTTGCGCGTTACAGACTGACTAGTGTCTGGAGAATTGCGATGGAATTGCGATTGTATGCTGCTCCACAGGATTCAGGTGATTCACCACGAGGTGTTCCTCATACCTTCCTCCGAGTCACCTAAGACCAGCTCAAAGGACCACACTGTCAGCGCTGTGCCCACAGCGAGGAACCTATGGACTGTCATGTGACTCTGGTCCAGCACTGCATGTCAAGGAGTTGAGCTTTTAGCCGGGCGTGGCACGAGGGCGTTTGATGATGCTTACTCACGTAGAAGATGCGAGTAGACTGCTATTAGCAAAAGCCGGGAATAGGAGACAATGATCGAAATGACTGAAGTAGGCGGAGGAGCACGGTGAATCAGCTTCATGAGGATGTGCATTCTCGCAGAGAGGTCTCTGTGACTCACAAGCCCCAAAAGGCTCATCCCGATCCTGGCTCCGCCGCAATCGCTTCCTGCGCCGAGCCGCCGCCGCAGCCTTTCGATCACGCAATTTGGTCTCGACTCCCTCTTTCGCCTTTCCCTTTACCATCCCGTCCATTCTGAGTTCCTCGTCGGTCTCCGAGCCGCTGTCCTCCTCTTCCTGCTGCACTTGCTGGTCCCTCCACGCGCCTTCGGCTGCCTTCAGGACGGGCAAGATGCGCGATGCAGCGTATAGCACCATCAACCTGTACACAAGACTGACGATGACACTCTTCGGCAAAGCCGCTCCTGCGGCTGCAATGAAACGCGCCGAGTGACCTAGCGTATGCCCAGCAAGGTCAAATAGAGCGGTTGCAGATGCGAGGATCAACGGCGGCAAAGGCGCGGATACGAGCGAGTCAGTCTTGAAGGACCGAATGAGTGCCAGCGGATCCGCAGTGAATGCAAGGGAATCTGCTAGTTGATAGACGTTCCATACCACATAGCCGAACTAGTTGAGGTGAATAGGCAAAGTCTCCGTCAGTAGAGAAATTGAAGCTGCTTGCGCCTGTCTTATCCATGACTGATTTCACTCACCATAAGACTGGTTTCTATGACGTTGCCTTTTCGAACTGCAAACGCGATGGCAGTGAGCCACAGCGTGGATGATACAGCTGCACCAGTAGCTGCCGCGGCGCCGGGGCGATTTCTAGTGGCTCCATCGAACGACAGGTAGAGGGCTACGGCACTTGAGACATACACGAACGCTGCGCTGACCAGAAAGAGGAGCTGCCAGCCTTCTGCTCCACCTAAGCCAAATGATGGCAGCCAGGAAAGCCATTTTCGGCGGGGTGAAGGAGGAGATGAGAGCGAAGCGGCGATGATGTATCGCGATAGGCTGCCAAGCACCTGCATGCGGTGCTCACAGCGTGAGCGACACAGCGTTGTAGCAACGAAAAGCCTTATTGTGCGCTCACCTGAATGACCAACAGAGTGGAGATGCCTTCCAACAAGCTAAACGCTGGGCTGCTCCATCTCAGCAAAGTGTGCCACCAAGGCGGCACAGCTCTAGCGAGCCAGAAGGTGTGCTCCACAATCCATTCCAGCACGCTAGATACAGCTATCCCTACCGTCTCGCCGAGCAAGCCCTCAGCGAGACCAACGCCGTGCAGGACTGCTCTTAGCTCTGCAATGGCCCCTACACTACTGTTGTCTCCACCGAGCGCTGATGCAAAGGCCCCTGCCCTGGACTGCGGTTTCGTGGAGAAGTAAGAGCTACTGGGAGGAGAGTAGACATTGAAGACGACAAGCAGACATGCTGGTACGACGAGGAATTGAAACGTCGCGAGGAATGTGCCTAGCCAGGCCAAGCTCGTGCCTTTGACGAGTGCTCGGATAGAGGAAAGAAAGAAGTAGTAGCAGGCCAATGAAGCGGAGAGCGCCAAGAACGCATCCTGCGTAAATTTTCGCAGACCGATAGTCAATACAATTGCGATGCCGCAAGGGCGCAGGAGGTATGAACATCGACTCACCACACCAGCTACGTCCAAGGTGAGTGGTAGGTATAGGATGACCTGCAAGAGAGTGGTGATGCGGCCGAAGGCGACGCAGATGGACCACACGACTGACATGCTATCTGTCGCGCCACCTGAGGTATATTATGAGCATGCCTTCTTGCGCTGATAGGGCAGCTATGAAGCAGTTCGGGCAGTGAAGTGATTGTGGAGCCGCGGAGCTGCCTGTATTGAGGAGGGAGCAAAGATTCCGAGAGGTTTCGCACCTTCCGCGTGTCCTTAGCGGTTAGCGCTCACTGCAGTGCGCGCGACCCGACGCGTCTCATCTGCAGCTAGGGTGTGTTGCACATCACGTCTCGTACGAGAGAAGTAGGCTGTTTACGCGCAGGCCCAGCGCGGCGCTGTTGCATGGCGCGAGAGGGAGAAGGGTCTCCTTTCCGCTCTCCCCTTCTCCTCCAGTGTGGCTCATTTTGAAAGGCAGTCCACGCGGTGGTGAAGGAGGCTCAAGAACGTCAACATGGTCTGCTATTGGGGATTCGAAACGGTACGCACGCGTGTGCGCGCTCAACTTCCTTCCCGATGGCCCATGTATACGGGGCAGCTAGCTGAGCCAGTGAAACCTCAGTCAGACCTCGGAGCTCGCGCCCGTTCACGCCGCACGAGAGCGGGATGCGGTAGTGCCATGCATGCCGAACACGCATTCTACAATCGTGAGTGATGCACCTGACCGCACCTTCTTGGCGATCCAGCAGCCCTTGCAGGCTTACCGCTCCGTCCACACATTGACTCACTATAAACCTCCCTCTGTTCAGCTTGGCTGCCCAATTAGCGGCTAGCAGCCGTAGCCAAGCAGCCTTCACATGCTGACTGCACACTCACCGGCACTGTACGACGTTGCGCCCAAGCACAGCGCTCAACGGCTCGAAATGTACCGTCGCGCAGATCGCATGCTGATCACCCCGCTATTGATGCATTCGCGTTGGAGCGCGTTTTCGATATGCCGCTGCTCCGGTCTTGCTGGCCAGTCAAGCAAGCAATTCAGATTCAGATTCTGATTCATGACTTCTCGATATTCGACACGCGTTGATCAAGAGTCTTGAGTCAGGAGTCGTGTGTTGACACGCAAATCGCTTCTAGTGACCAAAAGACGTGGGATGCGCCATCGCTTTGCGCTGTACGACTCGCGGCTATTTGGACTCAGACTTTGACCTTTAATCGAGCGAGACAACTTCCAAATGGGACCCTAATGACCATTTGAGGAAGACGCCTGATTGTTTGACTGTTCCGCAAATCGCCCGACAAGTTTGCGCTCAGCACGCATATGAGCGTCTGCGTTTGCCTAACTTTTGTACTCGTGACTTGTGTGCATCAGCAAGGCGTGCACAGCGTGCTGAAAGGTTTCAAGTCCGGAGTCGTGAGGCTTGATATATATATGACTTGCAAGTCAAAGTTGAGCGAAGAGTCCCTAATGGTGCCGCTAATTTGTTGTTAGAATGCCGAAGTTGACGCGAACATCATTCAAGATTCTTGATAGTATACAACCATCAATCAGTCAAGAGGGTTGAATTCAATCAATTTTGAATAGCAAGATATGGCATACGATCTTGCATGCATGGATGGCATATGCTGCCGACACGCGGCCGGGCGCACCGCACGGACGCGGCGAGCGAATTTGCACTCAGACTACAGTACACTATAGCATGCATGCATGCGTCCACATTCTTGATTTGTGGCCTTTGAATTGCAGCAGACGCGTACGAGGCGTTACCCTACACCAGCATGCATGCAGCGTTCGACACGCAGCAGCCAGGAGCAGCGGTCTAACCATGCAAAAGCCCTGTTGCTGTATCGCTACCGGTACCCGTCAGGCGGCTCCGCGAGGCATAGCGCTTCTCCTTTCACTCTGCCGTATGGATGCCGCGTGTCCTCACACATCCATTCACGCAGCCACCAATTCCAAGTCCATCCATCACTTGGCTTGCAGCGCATCGTGCAGCCGACTATCATTCCAACGTTGCGTCAAATATTTGGCCTGTTCGGCATCGCAAGCCTGGTCTTACTTCCCTAGGTGGGTCTGCGCCCTGCTCCCTCTCCCCGTTCCCTGCACCCTTCTATTATACCCTTAGGCACCTCGTTACAGCTGATCGAGCGACCTATAGCCCGATCTATCCGCTTCTCGACGACCCTCATCTCTGCCTTCAACTATCCCTCCCTGCACTCTTGTCCCCGCCCATTTCTTATAGGTCACACCTCTGGTGGGTGCAGCCGATTGGTCCTTTGTTGGATGGCAACACCAAGGACTCGACATGATGCGCGCCAGATGCTAGCTACTACTCCATCGACGATCCGAAGCGAGTCCTTAGCACTTGGCCTGGCCCCAATATGATGGTGCATCCGGCTCGCACACCCTCCGACGTGGGCGTGAGTGGTTCGTCGCCAGTCGCATCAAGCTCGAGGACTGGTGGAAGTGCTTCACCAGCTGGCGCTGCGAGACGATCCTACTTTGACCTCTACCCTGAGCGGCGAGGGCAAGGGCCGTATGTGCCGCCTACTGCCTTGACGCCGAAGCTGTCTCGAAAGGACAAGTCCTCTCCCCGGACGGATGTGCAGCGCGAGCGAGAGAGGGAAGGAGAGCGCCGGAAAGCGTTGCAAGCTGCCGCGAGCAAAGTCTCGGCGTGGACGCTGGAGCAGCAAAAGGCGAAGATCGTGGACACGCCATCATGCCCCGAGGTGCTTAAGAGGTCGACAGGAGCAGCACGCGTCCCAACGCACCAGCCCCGCGAGTGGGACGTCGCTTCACAACAAGCTTTGCCAGGTCAACCAGGCGGAGTGGATGCAAGGGCATTCCTTTTGAATGCGGGGCCCAATCACCGGGAGCGCAACAAATTGAGGAGCGGCAATATTTCCTCCTCCTCCTCATCGCATCTGCTTCGCAGCAGCAGGAGTGAAATGTCGTTGCGGAGCGTAGCCACCAATACCATCACGCCTTCCTCCACTTCATCTTCTATGCTGGGCACCTTTGTCGATCCTCCTCTACCGCCAGACCGCCATTCTAATGGTCAGCCCGTCGAACGCAAGGATTCCGGGATGTCGCCCTCGGCCAGTGTAGACCATTGGAGAAGCTTATCCTCAAGTCGCATGGCAGCGAGAGCTACATCAGAGAAGCGGCGCTCTCCTAGGACTCAGGATCAATCTGCCATTCCTATGCCATCTGTGGAGTCTCAGGAAGCGGCTCGCGTATCGCAGGAATCACAAGATGGAAAGATTGGGCGGTCAGCCGAGGATGTAGCCGCATACACGGCAGCTGCTGCCGCCGCTGCTCAACGCAGTCCGGGGGGTTTCCCCGTGATGATGTCCTCCGTCACGCGCAGGCGCAGCGCGCAGAACTTGGCGGCTCTTTCAAGCTCGTCGTCAGTAGAGCAGATTGCGATCTTGAACAGCCCAGCCACAGCCCCAGATCCACCACGCGAACAGCAAATGCGAGCATCTCGCGGGAGCGCCGTGAGCAAGCAGCACGCGCTGCCTGAACGGACGCATGGTGCCCCAACAGACTGCCGAAAAGTGATGCAGGAGAGCAGAAGACTATCACGAGTGCCCCTGGCTGCTATCCCAGACTCGCCCGCTCCTTCCATTATCTCCATACCCGATGAAGCGTCGACAGTAAGCACAACCAGTGAAGGCAACGGATCGCTGTCGACAGATGCCAACCCCAGACTGCCGGGCTCCTCTGCAATGCCGGAAGGCGTAGCAACTGCAGACCCTGAGGATACGACGCCGAAGCTGCGACAGTCAGCATGGGGGCCCAAGGACCAAGAAAATGGACAATCGAGGCCTCAGGTGGGCGCCAACGTGAATCTGACTGGCCGTGCATCGTCTTTGAACCCCACCGCAAGGCTTGACAGGCGGCCCGCACCTCCGATCAAGGAACAGCCTCTTTCGATCGAGGAGATCATCAGGCGGGGAACGAGTCAAACACCTACTCGGCCTATCACTACACGATCAATCTCAGCTCGTGCCACCAGCCAAGCGCCCACGGTACCGGACTTGGCTGCTGAGCCCTTACCGCCCTTGCCTCCTGTGCGAGCCACATATGCGGCTTCAAGCGCCGCAGTAGGCAAAGCATTACCGCCTTCTAGTGCTACAGCAGCTCGCTTGGCACCTAAGTTGGTGCCGAGCATAGACGACATCATCCGCGGTCATGCAGCGCAAGCATGGCCAACACATGGCAAAACATCTCTAGCGTCAAGTTTGTCGATTCCATCAGCTCCGCCAGGTCAGGCTCGTAGCCTTCCACCTCCATCCCCAAGCAATGTCCGAGTATACCAAAGCGAAAGCGAGAGCAGAAGCTCGTCAGAATCGGAAGAGGATGATGGCGCATCGGCAGCCAGTCATGACTCAGTATTGAGGGAAGTGCGGGAATCACTTCGCGCCGAGCGGCGCAAGGCTCGTATGGAGAAGGCTGCTGCGAAAGCAGCAGCTCGCAAAGCGGCCGAAGAAGAGGCCATGCAGCCGGTTGGAGCCCCAATGCCCAGATCTGCGCGACGTAAGCTGCATCACGCTACCTCATTCCCAACTCGGCCTGTGGGCGAATTTGGAGAGATCGGTACTGTGGATCCGATGCCGTCATCCTCAAGACTGTCACGAAGGGCGAGTCGCAGATCTACGGCTTCTTATGCGGCCGATGATTCTGTTGCACAAAGGGCGGATCGTACCGCATCCAAGGCGCCTGGCAAACCGCCTTCGTTCGTCTCCGAGCCAGTCCCGCCAATGCCCGGTAGAAAAGGCTCGGCGGAAGACAAGCTCAATACAGACGTCACGCAGTATCTGCGTTCCAGCAGGCTGACTCGATTGATCAAGCTGGAACAAGCACCATACGCGGGTTTGACAGTTTCTCTTGCAGATGTCGGTGCTCCGAATGGACATCCTGTCGTCATATTCCTCGGACTGGGCGTGGTACGCTATATTATCGCACTTTACGATGACATGGCCGCTGTACTCGGCCTTCGACTCATCTGCATTGATCGTTGGGGAATGGGCAAGTCGGACGATCTATCTGCGGAACGTCGAGGCGTAGTAGAATGGAGCAATGTGGTGGCAGAAGTCACGGGTCGACTCGGCGTGTCGAAATACTCTGTCCTTGGTCATAGCGCTGGTGGTCCCTACGCCATGGCGACGTGCTTGCGCTTTCCCGAGAAGGTTGCCGGTCCTGCGCACTTGCTCGCGCCTTGGGTCGGCACAAGCGTCGAGAGCGGATACAAATGGCTCAAATACGTACCAGACAGCGTCATCAAGACTGCTCAGGCAGCGGAGTGGAAGGTGCAAGGCTGGAAACTTGGGAAGCTGCCATCTCTGACCTACGAATCGATCGGCTACGATGCTCGTACGAGCGGCAACCGAAGTCCCTCCTACAACGGTGCCATCTCCCCCCGCATAGACGGGTCGACAAGCGGTTGGCCTGCGATGCACGGAGAGGAGATGCTCCCTCCCGTCTCACCCACTGGCACCACAGCGAGCAGCGGAGACAAAAGCTCCGATCTGAGCATGCGCGATTCGTCCATCCACACGGCCTCCCGCGTTGCCTCTCCTTCGCTCCAAGTGCCTTCCACCCCGATTCTGTCGACGCCGACCCGTGGCACCTCGAAAGCGCTGCGATCGAAGCCAGGCCGTTTCAATGCTTTCCTGGGCGGAAGTGGGAGCAAGACCTCTTCATCGCAGAGCGACGCGGACGTGCTCAAGAGTACACCGGACTCTGTGCGCTCAGCGCAGGCACGCGAAGCTGACAGACGATCTCAAGTGTCTTCGCAGGCGGGCGACCGCTCGCCGATTCCACGATGGGGTTCTTCTAGTTCTTTGGCGTCGGCGAAGGAGGGGATGGTCCGGTCGCCTCGCGTGCAAGACCTCAGCGACGCTATCCGATCGACTCACAATGGCTCTCCTAAACTTGTCTACCCCGACGAAGCACCTGTCGTACCATGTAAGGACCGATCAGCCCGCAGCAGCATATTTCACATGCGGCGATCGGAGTCCGCCCTCTCTGTACAGGAGGGCGACATCGCTTGGGCATCTGCTCCAAACGGCGACGTCAGCCTGGACGTCTCTACAACTTCTTCCTCCCGCAATAGTGGAAGCTGGGGTCGTAAACGCAACCACGCGATGCCGAGCTCGATCAGCACTTCAAGCATTCGCGACTCTCCTTCGCTGCGCGAACGACTCGAAGTCTATTCACCTGATTCCACCTCCCCCGCTGCCCCGACTTCAGCTCAGAAGGGCCTCATAGACTTGCCAACGGCAATTCTGCGAGCATCACACGCCGAGTCGCTCAAAGGTGGGGCGGCGGATCTGCTGACAATTTTGGGCCGAGCATCGCAACGACCTTGGGGCTTCACCTACGCCGACGTGCAGCATCCGACCATCGTTTGGCATGGAGACAAGGATGAGCGCATTAGTCTTTCTGGAGTATTGTGGATGGAAAGAGAAATGCGGGAGTGCAAGGTGAACATTGTCAAGGGAGGGACACATAGCCTCATGACCGACGTCACAACTTTTGTCGAGGCCCTCGAAAGGTGAGAGTCGAAGCCGCCACCTTCTCAAATGCACGCTCGCATCTAAATCGTGCTGCATCCTTTGCCTGACAGCATTTCAGCACATCGTAACGATTGAATGCACACTGCAAGCAACCAGCTTCTAGCTTGATACCCTCGTAGAGTCGCAAACATCAAAGATGCTCTTTCACCGTCACACGCTCCTTCCTGCTCCATGCTATAGAATGCCACAGCGCCTCACTCATATCGCCCAATTTCTTGCTGGCTGGAGGAGTACCTATACCTGCTTTGCCCCATTTGATCGTACGCTCACTGTAGACCCTCCTCCAATCTGCCTTCTGCCCCGTCTAATCGTCGACTCTCTCTCCCCCCTAATCTTTCAACACGAGTATACCATTCCTGCAAGCACCTTACAATCTCAGCAGCAGACTTTCAGAGGTGTGCGAGTCAGCACGTGTACGTTCAAGACCTCAAGGCTTTCTGTTCACTTGATTCGGCATCTGCGCAAAGCTGGGTACCTTGAGGGCGGGCAAATGCCTGCCTGCCCCGGGCTGAGCGCGTCTGCCTGCGTAGATCTCTTAGTAGAAGCGAGGACGCGATCAAGAATCAGCAGAGAAGAAATGATTGGTATTGCGATAAGCAAAGCAGTGCAGACAAGGAAGCTTCTATGGAGCAATTGACAAGCGAGGATAAAGAGCGTTGTTCGAGTGGTTCGCAAAGAGGGTGATTGGGTGGTGTAAATGAGAGTTTTGTACGGTAGAAGGCGAGAATGTCAAAAGAGTGTGATTAGAGGTGGGCACCTCGATTCGATGCGTCCGGATCAACGGCCTTCCACGTTTCACGCAGCAATGTTGCGCCTGAAGTTGTCAAGGGAGGTGCGGAATTTGCTACCGCCCGGCAGCTTACACGTGCATTGACCTTCCTTCAAAGGATGCTTGAAGCCCGTTTCATGGACGGGATGGCCCACGACAGTCTTGGTGGGCGCTTTGTGGTGCTTGTGGACCACTGGAGTGTACAGCGGGACGCCATGACGGTAGAGAATTTTGCCTTTGGAGTCTAGCACTGGGCCAAATGTGTGCGAAGGCGCTGGCGGGCAGCCTCCGCTTGAATGGCCCGTGGAGGATGGGTGCGTGCCGCCACTGCTGCTGTTTCCTGAGGCAGAGCTGCTGCCGCGGAGAGACGTGGAGCCAGTAGGCCGAGGATCGGTGCTCTGTGGACCATCTGTCTGAGGCTGGCGTGACTGTGAAGAATGCGAGGAAGCAAAAGTCAGTGTAGGCTCGTGAAGCATAGTAATGCGAAATGGACTTACGGCGCCAGAAGACTGATTGAAGTGTGGCTCGCTATCAGAGCCAGGCGCTTGAGAACCAGAAGCAAGCGGCTGCGATCGCGATGTGGTAGCAGCCGGAGCGCCGGGGAGGGGATTCGAGCCAGCAGAGCTGCTCAAGAGGCCGGTGGGAGCAACGGCTCCGCCCGACAATATGCTGCTGGATTGGCGTGGGATCTCAACGGAGGCTCCACTCTGGCTAGTCTGAGTCCCTGCTGCGCCACCCGTATTGGGCCGGTTGGGAGCATTTGCATTGTTGTCGCCTTGAGCTGTACTCGTAGCGCTGGCGGTCGTTGCTGTTGTAGATGCCGGTCTCAATCCAACGAGACTGCTGGCCGAGGAAAGAGCTTGAGATACGATGCTGCTTAGTCGAGAGGCCAGTGGAGGGGCAGCTGTCGTCTGCGATCCACTTGGTCCTGCGGTTGGCTGATTCCCAAGACTGAAAGTCGAAGAAGACAGCACCGCACCTCCGCGGCTTGGGGTAGGTTGAGCGGCTGTGTCGACGGCGTTTGGATCCACGGATGTGCTCAGACCTGGGCCCGGGATGCCAGCAGGTAAGCTGAGGGGTGGTTCAGAGGTGACAAGGCTAACGCTGGAATTAGCAGGGTCCACGGCTCTCGACGGCGTGGGCGCCACGCTGCTGAGCACTGCTGTTTCAGATGGCAAGCCTCCACTGGGCTGGGCCGAGCTCGATGGTCCAGAACTCGTTGAGGCGCCTGGTGGGGTAGGAACGCCCTGCACCGACGTCGCTCTTCCACTCTGAAGCTGCGAGAGCGCGCTGCTGAGTGACAAGAGCAAAGAGGTCGCTGGAAGCTGACTAGTTGCGCCTGAGCCAGCGGTTGGGATTGCCGAAACTGAGGGATCACCACCCTGCGCTGAAGTTGATGGTGAAAAGATCTGCGACAAAACGCTGCTGAGCGAGGAAACGATCGCGGTGCGGTCATCTGTGGGCACGACTGTTCTGATGGTCGAAGAGACTCCCGCATTGGACGTCAGGGTAGCCCCTCGGCCGTCTGTCTGCGAGAGCATGCTTTGAATCGAAGAAAGTATGGAGCTGACCGCAGGCGCGCTTGCGAATGTGTTCTGCGGGCCGCCTGCTGCTGGGGCGGAAGTAAAGCTCTCTAGCGCAGCTGTAGTGGGCAGAGCAACGGAACCGCCGAGCGTGGTGGATACAATCGGTGTGTTTGACGATAGCTGAGTCGAGGTGGGCTCAGGCTGGTCGATTGTCCCTGTCGGCAAGGCAATCGAGGATAAGACAGACGACAGTATTTGGGAGACTTGTGAAAACACAGGGTCCACGGGAAGCTGTGTGTCGACCGGAAGCTGTGTGGGAGTCGGGCCAGGGAGTGTGCTGCTTGGTTCTGCCAAGGTCGGCAACGCAGACAGAGCCTCGGAAACGACTTGGCTGACCTGCGAAACAACTGGGTCCACTAAGCCCGACGTGGGAATGCCAGATGGCAGCAGGGTGGACAAGCTGCCGAGATCGATAGATGTTACACTCGCACCTGGGCCGGGATTGAGCGTTGGCAGAACGCCGTCAGAGCTCAGACCGACGGATGGGAGACTGTCACCTCCTGGAAGCGATGGGTTCGTGGGAAGCGTTGGCAGACTGTCACTGCTTGGAGTAGATACCGGCGCAAGCGACCCCAAGCCTGTTGTGCTCAACACCTGGGACAGAACACTCTCGATGGACGACACGAGAGGTATGTCCAAGATTCCTGTGGCTGTTGGCAATCCAGCCAGCAATGAGCTGATCGAGCTAGCGAGCTGGGTGATGGACGCTGTCTGGCTAGCGACTGGATCCGGGACATCTCGGGTGACGCTGCTGAGCGCCGAAGAGAGGCTAGAGCCCAAAGAGTCCAAGTCTGGCGGACGATTCGTGATGATAGGGAAAGAGTTCGTTCCAGCCGGAAGTGTGGTTTGCAGGGACACTGTGGGCAAGATCGTCAGAGAGGGATTCGCACTGACGATGACGCCACCAGAGGTTGTTGTAGCAGTAAATTGGGTCGTGAGCTGATCGATGATCTGCGTCTGTGAGATGACTGGGTTGACTGTCCCGCCGATCACACTTGTCAAGCTTGCAGCTGCGGAGGCGATGCTTGAGAGCTGTGACCCAAGGTTGCCGAAGCTCGTCGTATCCGTAGGGAGAACTGAAACCGGAAGCGAGACGGGGATGCTGGCGCTTTGCGAAGGCAGTGCAAGCAGCGAAGAGAGGCTAGAGAGCAAGCTACTCGCCTCAGTCACTTGCGGGTCGACCGGAAGGCTCACAGTTGCAGGCACAGACGGTAGACTGCCGTCAGCCGAGATCGTCACAGAGGCCGCAACGGTCGCCGGCAGGGTTGCTTCCAACGAAGGCTGCGCCAGGACTGAAGAAAGACTGACGAGCAAGCTTGAAACAGCACTGAGTTGAGGATCGACGGGAAGTGTGGGAGTTGGCAGACCGCTTGAAGCCTCGTCAGCGAAGGAAGCAAGCACGGAGGTGGGCAGAGTTGTCGCTGGCAATGCTACGCCGACGGACGTCGACAAAGGCAAGTCTGATGGGGCTAGCGTCGCTGCTGGCACTGCCAGTACTGAGGTTAAGCTACCAAGGAGGCTCGATGCCGGAAGTTGGGTATCGACAGGAAGATTGAGCGTGGATGAGCTGCCAGGCAAGTCAATATCAGAACTGAGCACCCCGGTTGGCAGGGCAATATTCGAAGTCAAGTCTGATACCAAACCGTTCGATGGCAGGACGGACACTCCCGGCAACGCCGTGTTCTGCGTGGGCAAGGCAAGTAGCGATGAAAGACTTGAAATCAAGCTAGAAATACCAGTAGCTTGAGGTTCTATGGGTAGGCCGAATGTCGAAGAGCCACCCGTCTGGCCGACGAGCGAGCTCAGGCCGCCCGTTGGCAAGGCATTCAGCGAAGTCAATCCTGACGCCAATGTGGCCGATGCCGTCAATGAGATGTCTGACGAATCCGTGGCGAGCGGTGGCAAGCCAAGGATTGAGGACAAACGGGAGACCAGGCTCGAAATGTCAGTGGCTTGAGAATCGACTGGAGGACTGGCGATGGGTGTTGTGGGCAGCGCGGAGTCCGGCGCAGCTGTCGCTAGCGTCGGCAGGCCTAGAATAGCAGATATCAGACTCGACGCGTCGGTCACTTGAGGGTCCACTGGCAGACCAGCGCTGGATGCTGTAGGCACCTCCAAGACCGGCACAGCGGTAGGAAGCGTCGGCAGGCCCAAGATCGAAGAAATCAAGCTTGAAATGTCCGTCACTTGAGGGTCCACTGGCAGACCAGCGCTGGATGCTGTAGGCACCTCCAAGCCCGGCACAGCGGTAGGAAGCGTCGGCAGGCCCAAGATCGAAGAAATCAAGCTTGAAATGTCCGTCACTTGAGGGTCCACTGGCAGACCAGCGCTGGATGCTGTAGGTACCTCCAAGCCCGGCACAGCGGTAGAGAGCGTCGGCAGGCCCAAGATCGAAGACATCAAGCTTGAAACGTCCGTCATTTGAGGATCCACCGGAAGAACAGTTCCGCTGGGTGGCGTTGGCACCACCGAGCCCGGCACAGCAGTGGCAAGGGTCGACAGGCCAAGGACCGAGGACAGCAAGCTGGACACGCCCGTGAATTGAGGATCCACCGGAAGAACAGTTCCGCTGGGTTGCGTTGGCAAGACCGAGTCCGGCACAGCGGTTGCGAGCGTCGGTAGGCCAAGGATCGAGGACAGCAAGCTGGACACGTCCGTCAGTTGAGGATCCACCGGAAGAACAGTTCCGCTGGGTTGCGTTGGCAAGATCGAATCCGGCACCGTGGCGGTAGGGGAGGGCAGACCGAGGATGGACGAGAGCTGCGAGACTAAGCTAGAGACATCGGTCGCTTGTGGATCCACAGGTAGAAGACTTGCAATAGGCGCGCCGGAAATGAAAGAGTCTGTTACCGCAGTAGTGGGGGACGGCAAGCCAAGGATGGACGAGAGCTGCGAAACTAAGCTAGAGACGTCGGTCGCTTGGGGATCCACAGATGGAAGACTTGCAGTAGGCGCGCCGGAAAGGAGAGAGTCTGTTACCGCAATAGTGGGGGACGGCGCGCCAAGGATGGACGAGAGTTGCGAAATCAGGCTAGATACTTCAGTCGCCTGAGGATCCACAGGAAGAAGGCTTGCAGTGGGCGCACCGGGAAGCAATGAGTCTGCGCCAGAAAGAGTCAATGAGGCTGGCAACTTCGACCCATCTGTCTGCGTTACTCCATTGAGGACGCTGGAAGCGAGCGATTGAATCGATTCAAGAGGCGAGGACGGGCTTGTCTGGATGACTCCCGTGGTGGACAGCACGCTTGATAAGGAACCTCCCAAAGAAGAAGCGTCGGCGTTGAGCGACCTGGTAGCGCCAGATGGGATACCGAGGAAACTACTGATGATGTCGGTAGGCTGCAAAAACGTTGGCAAGCTCGCGGTGGAGAGGATGCTGCCAATGTTCTCAGTCAACGAAGATAATAGGCTCTGTGTGCCTTGAGAAGTTGCAGGCAGCGATGGCAGTGCGTCTTCCGCACTGCTCGCCGCTGCGCCAATTGAGCTTGTGACAGCAGGCACGTCCAAAGAGGGCGCTACGGTGAGCGATGGTAGATTCGTTGAATCGACCACGGTGCTCGCTGCGTCTGTTGGAAGTAATTGAGCTATGCTGGATATTGCACTTTGGACGTCGATGGAGCCTGCACCGCTCGGCAAGGCTTGTAGTGAACTCAGTATGCTTGAAATCACCACTGCCGGTTCTGTGGCATCCGAGGCTTTGGGCGGAACACCAGTAAGCAAACTAGATGCCAAGCTGGTCAGAGCCGCAGTTCCAGTGGGAAGTCCTCCTTCCGTCGCTATTGGTACCGAAGGGAGACTTGTGGCATCTTGTAGACCTGTCTCGAATGGCAAGCTCAGACCAACACTGGTGAGGCTTGGGCTACCAATGATAGGTGTGGTGAACAAGTCGCTTTGAAGGCTGGACAGCAAACTTTGAGCAGATTCTAGGCCGGCTGCTGAAGACAATGATCCCAATAGAGTAGAACCTTGCGCCTGAGGGTCCGACAATTGAGTTGCTAGAGGTAGCGAGGCAGAAGGATCTTGTAAGACTGCACCAGCACTCGTAATCGAGCTGACTAGGCCAGGAGCAATGCTTGAGGCTGGCAGCGATTCAGGTAGAAGACTTGTACTTGCGGGTAGGCCTTGCGTTGCTCCGTCCATGAGACTTGAAACGATGCGAGAGATCGAATTAATAAGGTCAGATCCGCCAAGCGTCGTGCCTTCGCTGCCACGAATGCTGCTGAGGGTCGGGTCGGCGGGAAGCGAAGTTGGCAAGGTTCCTGTCACACTTGGATTATTGCCGCCTATCTGTGAGAGCAGGCTGGAAATTTCGGAATGTGCTTGAGAAACCGGAACACCATCTCCTAGTGAAGTCGGGATCACCGTCTCTATCGATGGTACACTCGCAGTCGTTGGTGAGACTTGTGTTACTTGGGCGATGTCCGAGAAGAGCTGTGAAAGGGAGGTGAACAGAGCCGACTGATCCACTGTGCTAGGAAGATCTGCAGAGGATAACACATTTCCTGGCCCATCTGAGCCAGCCAGCAACGTCTCGGCTGCGGGGAGAGATGTCGGCAGAGCACCGATTGCGCTGGTCAAGTCGCCTCCCACACTTGTGAGAGGGTCTGTGGGCAGTACGACACCCGGTCCTGACTGAGATCCGGTCTCAACCCCAAGACTGATACTGATGCTTGCACTGAGCTCACCCGAAACGTCCGGAATTGTGTCGGTCGCAGCGGATCCGGTGGGAAGCACACTCAGGGTAGCTAGGGTCGTCTGCGCAACACCGTCGGAGATGATGGACCCCGCTTGATCAAGGATCGAGGTCGGAATTGAGCCAGCAGTTGCTTCGACACTCGTGTCGACATTTGTGCCGATTATGCTTGTGGCCCCCAAGTCGGTGAGCAAGGTGGAAATTAGCGAGATTGGCGGCTCCAAAGGCACACTCAGGCTAGTGGCGCTGGGCAGGGATGTCTGTGCAATACCGGCAGAGGTTTGTCCGAAGATCAGACTCGTGAGGCTGTCGACGACAGTCATGACCAGACTTGGTGCCAGAGCTTGACTCGGCGACAAGTCGCCAGACGGGTCCAGTGTTGGCAAGATGTCGGAGGTCGCGCCGAGCGATGAAGTTGCCACCCCAGCCAATGACGTTGGGGCAGAGGCCGCGTCTGAGATCGCACTGGAGAACGGATTGTCGGTGGGCACGATGGTGCTAGTCATGGAGTCTACTATGCTAAGCAGCTGCGAGGTCTGTTCAACAGATGACGGTATAGCTCCGAGGCCAGAGTTCGCCGGTATCGAAAAGTCTTGAGAGAGCGTCGCGCCCAGAGACTCGCTCAGTGAAATGCTAGCACTGGGCGCAATATCGCTAAGAATGCTAGACGCTGCTTGAGCCAGTGAGCTTGTTGCGTCCAGTGGCAAGCCGGGCAGAGTTGAACCCGCCGGATCAGTCAAGCCAGTAGGAATTGCTGCGCCGCTCTCCGACGCCGTCAACGACAAGTCTGCTGAAACCGGAGGCCTAGATGCTGTGATTATGTCGGAAATGGAGATCGAGTCTGTGGGAAAGCGTGCAGCAAAAGATAATAATCAGAGCACATATGATTAGTTGAGCCGGAATGCTCCATCTGAGCTCGAGACTAGCGGTGCCCACCTGGAACAGCTTGGATCGAGCTGCTGAGTGAGTCAAGCAAGCTAGAGGCGACCTGCGTAGGTTGGACATTACTTGGGACAGGAGCGGATGTGAACACTGGACCTGTCGAGGAGTTGGACCAAGGTCAGTGGGAATGCCGAGCTTCCACGGACGGGCTAATCCGAGACCTACCTGTGATTCCGCTCAGCGTGTCAATGATGCTTGACAGAAGGCCACTATCATCGGTGGGTAGGGATGCCGCCTGCGAGACTGCGCTGATGACGCTTGCCTGACCGTATCAAGAGTCGCGGGTCAAAGCCGTCAGCTGCGTCCGTAAATGCACGAGACGCCGGCCGACTCACCTGCGTTGCTGACAGGTCTACACTTGAAGTAGCGGGTACGACCTCGCTTGCCACGGACGAGGCGCCGAGGTCAATCGACGACATTGCATCGGTAACGGTCTGCACAACGCTCGCGATAATAGAAGAGAGGCTCGCGGTAACCGGGATGGAAGACACCACAGGTGCTGGAATGCTGGCTGAAAGGGACACACCAGCTGAGGCCGAGTCAGAATCGAGGTCTGGTAGGCTTAAGGTCACAGACAAGGAAGTGTCGATACCTGTGAGTCCCAAGTCTGCGGAAGAAAGGCCACCCTGGCTGCCAGTTGGTAGTACTGATGGTAAGATCGTGGCAAGAGAGGTTGCTTGGGGCAGACCGCCCGACTCAGATAGATCTGCTGAGAATGATACATCAAAGCCCGAGGTCGAGGAAGGCGAAGAGAGCGTCAACGAAATATCCACGCTGGGCGCTGAAATCTGCAGGGAAGCGTCCGGTGCGACGTTGCTTGCTGCAGGAAGGCCAGCAGTCAGGCTGGTGACCCCTGGGTCTGCAAGATCCGTGGTTGAGAGCGGAGCGCCGATGCCGAGGGAAACGGAGCCATCGACCGCGGTGGGAAGCGCAGCGCTTCCGCTAATCGACAGAGATGGCAGTATGCCGCCGCCAACTCCCTGCTCCGGAGTGAGGTGAGAGTCAGCACATCGGGAAGGGACATCTCCCCCAGACTCATCTGTGTGCACTTACCGCGGACAAAGAGAGCCCACTCGAGGCCAGAGAAGAGTCCCCAGCGGGGGTCGGCGCCACCTGAGATAGAAGAGATGACGCAGGCTGCAACAATGACGTTGCATCTTGAGGCAGAGTCAAAGAGCCTGGCAGCGAGACCGTGCCGGCTCCAGGAAGGGCCAGGCTTGGCTCGCTGCCCTGCTCAGTGGAGCCGAGACCCAGCAATGAGCTTGCCGTAGAGAGGGCTTGGCTCGCTTCGGAAAGGACTGCGCTAGCAATGCTGGTGGTAAAAGGCTCACTCGGGCCCGTACCAGGTCCGACCTCTGATGTTGCGTCGCCAACAGCAGAGGTAAGTGCGTCAAAGATGCTTGTGGGAGCCGAATCGTCTAATGATGCACTGAGGCCCAGTGAAGCTGAGACCGAGGGATCGACGAGGGGGATCGAGACAGCTGGTAACGGGTCCACAAGAGTGATTGAAACATCGCCTGAGCTTGCTCCCAACGAGACCCCTGCAGATGCGGTTGGAATAGCGTTTGTCACCATCGACGTGACATCGCCGGCCGGTGTGGTTACCTGACTTCCACAACCTCCGAACGGTCCGAGGGCAAGACACAAAATGCTGCTCAGAATACCTGTACTTGTGGGTTCGGCGACAGGTGCACTGGTGAGATCTGGCGTTCCTGTTGGCTGCGCTGCAGCATTTGTGTTAGAGGCCAAGCCAGCCAAAGACGATGCAACTCCTGCAGCGGAAGCGGAAGCGCCTGACGTGGCGAAAGAGGTGAGGTCGCCGGGGCTCTGTTCCAAGGCGGTCGACGCCGGATTAGCTATTGACAGAGACGGAGCCAGACTCGCTGCTGCCTGTGCCGACGCAACGCTTGCCAGAGATGCCGATAGAGCCGCTTGTGCTTCCGCGCTGAGGACGGAAGCGCTCGCTGCGGACTGAGCAGCTGCTAGTGAGGAAGCCACGTCTGCCGCAGAGATCGCTGACGCGACACTAGCTAGCGAAGATGATGCTGAAGCCGCCGCCACAGAGGCCTCGCTTGCAAGGGAGAGCGAAGCTTGAACGCTGGCAAGTGATTGAGAGGCAACGGCTGCATCGGATGCCAAGCTAGCCGCCGCGAGCTCAGAAGCGACGCTGGCCAGCGAAATCGAGGCTTGCGAGGCAGCCACAGATGCTGCACTGGCGATGGATAACGAAGAAGCTGCGCTAGCGGCAGCACGTGATGCTGAGGCCGCAAGATCCGATGCTATACTGACGCTAGCAAGAGACGAGAGTCGACTAGACTCCGCTTGAGCTTCTGAAAGCACTGAAGCTGCCGAAAGCTCAGACGCCACGCTCTGCAGCGAAGCAAGACTTGCCAGTGAGACTCTGCTCGCTTCTGCTGATGCCGCTGACAGCGCTGAGGCCACGGAAGCCTCCGAAGCAATGCTTTGCACTGAGGCTAGCGACAGCGACGCAGCCAGCTCTGCTGAGACACTTGCCGCCGATAAAGACGACAGGCGACTTGCCTCGGCTTGCCCAGCCGACAAGACCGAGGCAACAGACGCCTGAGATGCTAGACTTGCAATAGAAGCCCTGCTTGCTTCTGCCTGTGCTGCTGATAGCACAGAGGCAGCCGACGCCTGCGATACTAAGCTCTGCACAGAAGCTAGCGACAGCGACGCTTCGGCCGCTACGCTTGCAGCCGAAATCGAACTGATGCGGCTCGCTTCTGCTTGTGCGGCTGACAACACGGACGCTACTGATGCCTGCGAAGCGATGCTCTGCACCGAGGCCAGCGACAGCGATGCCGCCAAGTCTGAAGCCACGCTGGCTGCTGAAATTGATGAGATGCGACTTGCCTCCGCTGCTTGACTCGCAGCGGAAATAGCGCTGGCTATGGAGGCCTGTGATGCAATGCTTTGTGCCGCTGCCAAAGATAAAGACGCCGACAATTCTGCTGCTACACTAGCCTCTGAAATGGACGAGATTCGACTGGCTTCAGCTTGACTTGCAGCCGAAAGAGCGCTTGCTACAGAAGCCTGTGAGGCGACACTTTGGACTGACGCCAGTGACAAAGATGCCGACAACTGTGAAGCCACGCTGGCTGCCGAGATGGAAGAGACTCTGCTAGCCTCGGCGGCGGCGGATAGAGCAGAGGCGACGGAGGCTTGGGAAAGTACCGAAGCAACCGAGGCTTGTGATGCAACGCTGGCAATCGAGGCTGACGAGATCGACGCGGCGAGCGCAGAAGCAACGCTGGCTTGAGATGCTGCAGCGACTTCCGAGGCGACGCTTGCGGCACTAGCAGCTGATATTGATGAAGCGACGCTTGCAAGAGAAGCTTGAATACTTGCTGCCGAGATTGATGAAGCCACGCTTGCAAGGGACGCTTGGGCACTGACAGAAGACAGAGAAGCAGCCACACTTGCCTCGCTGGCGACGCTTGAGAGCGAGGCGGCCTCAGAAGCTCTAGACAGCGCAGATGCGACACTTGCTTGCGAGGCGAGGCTAGCAATTGAGGCTGCAGCATTTGCGGCGGAGATTGATTGGGCCAAGCTGGCCGCGCTGATCGAAGAGGCGACTGATGCTGCTGATGCCGCTGAAAGTGAGGATGCGACCGAGGCTGCGCTGACAGATGACAACGATGAGGCAACAGAGGCTACTGATGCCTCAGAAAGTGAGGATGCCACGGAGGCAGCACTGACGGATGACAAAGAGGAAGCAACGGAGGCTGCTGAAGCTGCTGCTGATGCCACTGATGCAGCCGAGAGCGACGAGGCGACCGAGGCAGCGCTGACGGAGGATAAAGATGATGCCACCGAGGCGGCCGAGGCAGCAGCTGACGCTACGGATGCGGCCGAAAGTGATGCGGCGACGGAGGCAGCGCTGACGGACGAGAGAGACGAAGCTACCGAAGCCGCCGAGGCAGCAGCTGATGCCACGGATGCGGCGGATAGAGACGAGGCGACCGAGGCGGCCGATGCTGCTGCTTGTTCTGCAGACAGAGCAGCGGCGGAAGAGGCCGAAAGAACAGAGGCGATGCTGGCTTGACTTGCGGCAGCTCTAGAGACTGATGCGACAGACTCTGAAGAAACGCTGGCGAGAGAGGCGAGGGAGGCAATGCTAGCGGCCGATGCTTGGGCTTGTTGGGCAGAGAGCACAGAAGCAGCGGAAGCTGCTGCTTGTTGCGCTGAGAGGACTGAGACTGAAGACGCTGAGAGTACCGATGCGACGCTGGCCTGACTCGCTGCGGCTCGAGAGACGGAGGCCACCGACTCTGATGAGACGCTCGCGAGACTGGCGAGCGATGCTACGCTGGCCAGTGATGCGGCCGACGCTTGCGCCAATTGAGCCGAGAGAACGGAGGCAGCTGAAGCTGCAGCTTGAGAGGCGGAGAGGACCGAAGCTACGCTGGCTTGACTTGCTGCGGCTCGAGAGACGGATGCGACTGATTCGGATGAAACACTTGCGACACTAGCAAGAGAGGCGGCGCTCTCTGCCGCCTGTTGGACCGAAAGGACAGACGCTGAAGACGCCGCGGCCAATTGAGCCGAGAGAATGCTTGCGCTTGCAGCAGCTCGTGAGACCGAAGCTACAGACTCTGACGAGACGCTGGCGACACTAGCGAGCGAGGCGGCATTTGCCAGCGACGCTGCGCTTGCTGCGGCTTGTTGGACCGAGAGAACTGATGCCGAAGACGCTGCGGCTAGCTGAGCTGAGAGGATGCTTGCGCTGGCGGCTGCGCGAGACACAGATGCCACAGATTCTGAGGAGATACTGGCCAAGCTCGCGGATGCAGCCGCGCTTGCTGCGGCAGCGACCGAGGCCGAGGAGACGCTTGCGATACTAGCCTGTGCGGCAGCGCTGGCAGCAGCAGCAGCAGAGACCGATGAAGCACTTGCAATGCTTGCTAATGAGGCTGCACTGGCAGCAGCAGCAGCAGAGACCGATGAAACGCTTGCGACGCTTGCTAGCGAGGCTGCACTGGCAGCAGCAGCAGCAGAGACCGATGAAACGCTTGCAATACTGGCCACTGAGGCTGCGCTGGCAGCCGCAGCAGCGGAAGCTGACGAGGCACTGGCTACGCTGGCGAGCGAGGCAGCACTTGCGACGCTCTGTACGCTCTGCACACTTGCCACGCTCGCGAGCGACGCCGCACTTGCAGCAGCGGCGGCCGAAGCGGAAGACGCACTGGCCACGCTTGCCAGCGAGGCAGCATTCGCGACGCTCTGTACGCTCTGCACACTTGCTACGCTTGCCAGCGATGCCGCGCTTGCGGCGGCGTTCGCAGAGGCCGAGGAGGCACTAGCAATACTGGCGAGCGACGCGGCATTTGCGACGCTTTGTACGCTCTGTACACTAGCTACGCTGGCCAGCGAGGCTGAACTTGCAGCCGCTGCCGAAGCAGCAGAAGACGCGCTCGCCGCACTCGCGAGAGATGCAGCGTTAGCTATGCTCTGCACGCTTTGAACGCTAGCAAGGGAAGCAGCGCTGGCTGCCGCAGCAGCGGCAGAAACCGAAGAAGCACTGGCAACGCTCGCCAAAGAAGCTGCATTAGCCGCGCTCTGAACACTTTGCACGCTTGCCAAAGACGCCGCGGAAGCAGCACTAGCAGCACTGGCGGCGCTGACACTTGCCCGAGAGACAGAGGCGACCGAAGCCGAAGATACACTTGCCAGACTGGCCAGACTGGCCAGACTGGCCGCACTGGCAACTGATGCTGACGAAGCGCTGGCTATGCTGGCTAGACTGGCGGCTGATGCTGCCGAGGCCACAGAAGCAGCACTAGCAGCCGATGCCAGGCTCGCAGCACTAGCAGAGGATGCTGCCGCTCCGTTCGACGTCGTGGTTGCACCCCCCGATCCACAACCTCCCAATACACCTCCTAGCACATCGCAGAACACCGTGCTGGCAATACCTCCCGTTCCAGTGGAAGCCTGCTCGCGGTATGGAATGGCCAGATCAGCATGGCCTGGTTCGATCAGCAAGCCGTCATTGGTCGTGCCTGCATCCGAGTCCCAAACAGGTTCCGCTGAAAATCTATGCACTCACAGATGTGGTTTTGGGAGCTGCCACCAGCCGACGGTCGATAGTTGGAGTCGGAGCAGGACCTGCCTGTACGGCTTGTACAACCACCGCTGCCGCAAGAGCCGCGCGCACGAGATTGACCATTTCTTCGCGAGTCGAACCAGAGAATGAGCGGTCGTTAGCTCCTTGAGGGGTGCCGCACAACTACTGGTGCTTGGTCACGTGCGTATCGATCGCGTACATACTTGAAAGTCTCGTGCCCTTTCCTACAATATATTCCCTCACCCTCCGCAATTGACAGGCCCCTGCTCGCCCGTACTCCTGATTGAATGGACTTCCCAGATGATCGCTGTCGCTGAGCCGTTGCCCGGCCAGGTGTCGCGAGCAAGAGTGGGTGAAGACCGAGAGTTGATGTGGTAAAGCAGGAGTGGGCGGTACGACGAAGAAGAAGATGGATGAGACGAGCGAGGAAGGCAAGCAGGACGCGCAAGAACGAGAAAAAGAAAAAAGAGGGTGGGTGGCTACGGTCGGATGATGGGGTTTCGGATTGATGAGGTGCTCGAGCAAGGACACAAATCTCTACAGTGAGCGCGGATGCTGATCGATCCTGTTTGCATCCGGATCTGCCGTGCTGAGCGGCCGACGACTGCCAAGCGTGCCTTGACCAAAGATCTGCGCTCCTCGCATCTGACGCATTCATTCGCTCACCTCGGCCAAGCTGAGCGCCATGCGCTGCTGAGGCACGTAACTCCGGACAAGAAAATGCCGAGCTTGTATGCAGACCACCTTGAGTGTGATGATCGATCCACACCAGACCGCGATCGCCTTGCATGGCCTGGCTCCAGAAAACATAGCCACGTATCGACACATGTACGTAAGCCGCTCGGGCTTTGTTGCACGAAAAGGACTTCGAGAGGCACCTCGCTGATCGAGCCAGGGTTGCTGCTGAAGATCATGCGCATTGACCATGCGGCGCTCGAGCGAGCGCCATGGCTTTGGTCGCATGCGGAAAGAGATTGCGGCTCTTGATTGCGTCGGCCTTTCAAAACGCTGGCTGTGCGGTACGGTATCGGGCTGGGCGTGTGCAATGTTAGATGTCAAAGTCGGAGCACGAACATTGAATGTTGCATGGACCACACCACCCGCCTACATCCTGCCTGGCTGATGAGATGTGAGACATGTCGTCGATTCTCTTGCGCAAGCCTACCGGAGTCGCAGTAGCTGGCCCGGGCGAATAGTGCCATTCGCCTGAACTCTGAACCGCTGAGGAAGACGCGCTGTGATAGCGACCGTTGCTGACGCACAGTCGGTTCGGCACTGCACTGTACTACTACTACTACTGCAAGCTGCTCTGCCGTTCTGTGTGAGTCTTCTCATCTGTAGGTACAGCATGGCTTTCCCACATTCATGATGCGTTGCCGTAGGCTCCGTCTCGCGCGCGCATCCTTTTTCCACTGATCAATTTCTGGTGCCCTAGAGCTATCGATCGAGATTTGGGCCCTCCTTGCCGATGCTGCAAGCCATATGATTGTGAGACATGTGGCGGAGGGAGGTAGATTAGGCCGAGTGGTTAAAATGAATACCGTTGGAGCGGCTTCTTTGCATATATGCATCAGTCAGAAAATCGAAGCGAGTCCAGATGCGTTCTGGCCCTTTTGGATGAGGGAACGGTGGAACGAATGGGTGAGACATGTAGGCTTGTTGCCGCGCGAAAATCAAGTCACGATCGAGTATAGTGGCAGCGCACCGCGCATCGAGATGCTGACGGACCGCGGGCCGAGTAGGTAAATGCGCGCAGGCCCGGGAAATCTATCGTACGTAACGCCCGCGCGCGGATCAATACGCACCGAATACAAATCACGAATATATACTGTATCTAGAATTTGTGGATTGAAATCACGAATGAGACAATAATAAATGAAAGGCCATCCACCGAGCCAAATTTTGAAGCCCGATGACCGCATGCGGCAAGAGCCGAGCAACATCACCTCCTCGGCTCGCGCGACACACGAGCGCCGGCCATTCTGGTGCATGGGTGCGTGTGAACGTTTGAAACACCGCTCGAGTCACAGTAGCCTGAGAGCCGCATGCACCCGCCCGCGTTGGTCTGCTAGGCTTCATCTTTGATCATTGTGATTGCTGGAACACAGCTAAGCCAAGCCGCAAGCTCGTCCCTTGTTCACTCAAGACTGCAGCTCAAGCATTGAGCACGGTGCATAAGTCCTGTTGAAGCCAGTCTGAGTCCGCTGTCAAGCCGCCCTTGGGAACGAAGAGGACGAGCAACGCGTGGGGCGCGAATTGGGGTGCGTGGATGTTGCTGTGTGTGCCTTTTGGAGCGGAGTGTGCTTCAGCGTTCGGGCAGCTGAAATGGAGCGCCATTTGTGCTCGACAGTCATCTCAGCATACATACCGCTAGGTCACACACAAAGTCATCCACGCAACCGACCGGATCCGGAAGTGGATATCTTTGCGGAAGGCTCAGGAACAGGGTGTGACTGACGAACCATCGTATTCAAGAGCTGGATACCGACACTGAGAGGGAGGCTGAGCTATCCTAGGCCCCGCGAGCAACGACAATAGGCAAAAGATGAGCGGGCCTACTGGGGCATTGAAGCATGTGCAAAGCTCGATGGAAAGTGTGGCTGGGCTAGCCAAAGGTCTGTACGCGCGAGCACCGGCCAGCACGGCCACCCTTTTGTCCCTCTTGCTGTCCTACCTGATCACAACGGCTCGATCAGACTACGTGCTGTATCGCAGTCTGGGCGTGGGAGGCCTTGCGCCTCCCGGTCCCATAGGCTGGTTGGTGCACACCTTCATTCTTCGGCCTCTTGCCATGTCATCAGGTCGAGAGAAGGATCCCGAAAGATTGCCGGTCTCGGATGAGCAGGTGCAAGGGCAAAGCTTGTCACTAGATCTGCCAAAAAGAAAGGGAAACGCGCCATTTACCTTTGGTCTCATGCCTCATAGACAATTGGACCAGACTTTGCCCGAAGATGGCGCGATGCAAAAGGTGAGACATGCTGTGGGTACTTCCCCCTCCCCCTCCCGGTCGCCCAATCGTCTGCAGTGCAACTCTCGCGATGGGGGCGGCGGCGCTGTGATGAGGTAGAGCTTGTTGGCTTATGTCACGCTCAAGACTATGCAGGTACGCAAGATCCAAGTAGCTCGTGACGGACAAGCCACTCACCCACTGGCCGACCGAAGTGGACAGATAAGCCCCGATTTTCATGCGGCGGTCTCACCGATGCTGACCCCTTGCCGTGACACTTCACCCCACATCCTCTTCCTTCCACCACCTCTCCCTCGCCTTGTTCTTGGCGACGCCATGTCTAGGCTCTCGCATCTCACTTCAACAAGCTAGCCACGCTCAACATCAATCTCCGTCCAAGTATCTCCGTTCTCGAAGCGCACAACTCTCCCAGCTTGCAAGTGCAGCACTCGCCCAAGGACATTAGCCCAGCACAAATCCGTTCCTATGCCCGGCTCTTTCTGTCCGGTCTACACGCACCTCGATCCGACGGTTCTTCGCCTCTCAAAGAATTCGCTCATATCCATCTGCACGACGGATCATTGCACCTCGTCCTCTCCCCCTCGCACGCCCGCATCGTGCTTGCCCAAGGATGGGGAGAATTGCACAGACTGGCGGGCGCATTCTACAGAGGTCATTGGTGGCCTCTCCTCATCCTGCCCAAATGGCTCGCAAACGATGCAAAGGCTAGATGGGGCTATCTGGCCCAAAGAGCTCAGAGCTCTAGGAAGGCTGCGCTGCTGCCTCCTACGTACCTCATGATCTACGCTCCCAGGGACGAGGAAGAGCTGCAGCACGTCAAGCGCATCATCGATGCTGCCGCAGCTTTTGCTCTTGGTCACGAGCCGATCTCAGAGCCTTAGCTCGGTAAAGATTATGCTATGCTATGCTGACCATATTGCAAATTGCGATTTGAGATACTTTAGAAGCCTGATCGGTGTATGCGTTCAAGCAGTCTACCTAATCGAAATCGTAAGCGTGTTTGTCTTCATCTTGTTCTTTCTCTCGCATATTTAAGTCTTGGTGCCCTCGCAAGCCTCTTCCACACCCTTGTACTCTTCCGTCCTCTCTCTCGCGAACTGCTCAAAGCGACCCAGCGCGCAGCTTCCTTCAGGTCCATCGTGACAAGCCGGCAACTTTTGCACTGCGCCATTCACAATGACTCTTACAAAGTCTGTCTTTGAGACGCTGCTGCTGGGTGCGGTGGCAGAGGGAGAACAAGTGATGCGTTCCAGAGCCACATGGCCCAAGAAGGGTAGGACGTGCGAAGTGTGCCACACGCGATCTTCTGAGGTACCGATAGTAGTGAAAGAGGCGTGATCAGGATCAAAGGCGGGTACGGCCGCTGGCCTTCAGCTCCATTCGATCTGTGGCGTTGCACGTCTACCACCTGCTCACCTGGGTTGCGATCCGTTGGCAAATCGTATTGCGCAGTCTGGTTCCAGATGCCAAGTGCGACCAGCGCCATGGGCGGCTCCTCACGATGAGTGAAGTAAGGGAAGAGGTACTGCGTGTGGGTCTGATTGGGCGGGAGCGGTAGCGGGTCGTCCAGCGATGCTCGGAAAGAAGCATCGTCGTGAGGATCCGCATCTTTGCCAATAGCCAACAGGTTGTGTGTCGAGGTGTTTAGCCCTGCAGAGAGGGGAAGAAGAGTAAACGCATGTCAGAGGGACACATGAGCGAAAGACTCAAGCAGACTTTTTACTCGCACTGCGCTCCGAGGTACGGAGCGAGGGGTGATCCATATCCGACCATCTTGTGGTAGCGCTGCGAGAAAGTAGGCCGAACGGTGCGAGAGGGCATGATGTCAGTTTTCCGCTTGGCCACAGGAAGGCCCTCGAAGCCGCAGAAGAGGCATCATGACTCACCAAGTCGTTCCAGTAGCCAAAGTCTCTAAAGGTCCCGTGATCGAAAATGTCGCAGAAGTGGGATTTTCCCACGCCAAAAATGACTGTGAAAGTGACACACCATCGAGGAGTGTGAGTACCAACAGTATCAGAGAAGGTACGACTTTGGATCACACACTCACCGCTCTCGTATCCACAAAGCATGGGAAGCGCAATGACATCCTCGAGTTTCCAATCAAATTGTGGGGCCAAGCCCTTGAGCTGCTGCAACGGTCTCTGACCAAAGACTTCGAGCCACTCTCTTTGTTCTTGCGTGCCCGGCTCTTTCGAAAACTTCTTGCAGACCTTGTGGGGGGTGAGGGAGTAGCCCCAATTTGGATCTTTATTGTTGACCGTGATCAATGCGAGGTGCTGCGTAGGCCACCGGTCGAACATCAAGTGAGACGTGTGCAGGTGTGGGCATGGCAACCCCACATCGCAACGTGTTGACTCACCTTTCCATCCCCTTCTCCGTTCTCTCCCCTCTGCCATTGGGGAAAAGCGCCTCTGATCCAGTTCTTAGCTGTCCCTACATCCCTATCGCTTGAAGCAGACCAGACCTTGAAAGGCGTCTTGACCTTGCCGTTTCCACTGGCCTCTCTTCCCTTTTTACCCAACTCCAAAGGAGGAAATAAGTGAGGATGAAGATGCCTCAATCTTTTCCCTTGTCTGTATGCGTCGTGCGCTCCGGGCTCTGTCAGTGCTTCGAGATTGTCAGAGGAGATGGGCGATTTCCATCCGCGAAGGAAAGCGAGTCGGCCGCTCTCGGGCCAACCTGCGTCTGGCGAAGCAAAGTGAGAGGAAAGTCGCTGGACAAATGGTTCCATGTATTCTTCCCACTCGTCGTCGTTCGCTGCGATGGAGGAGCTGATCGAAGAGGGCGTGCGGACAGATCGTCGGTCAGCGTGATGCCTCCGTCGCCTCTGAATCAGCGCGGTCTCTGCGCTTTGCCATCCCGCAATGACTCACTGCCTGATGAGCATCGCGATGGCTCTAGAGGTGCATCCTTCTGGAGGTTTGAGATTAGCGCCCGGAGCATCATGATAAGGACTTATTCCAGACATGTGCTCCAGCGGATCCCAATCGCCATGGTGAGGAGGATTGTCAGGGGCGGTCAACAGCGGCGATTGGAAGGATTGTTGGTAGGCAGGTGCGGGTGCGGGTGCGGGCGCTGATCGGGTGGAGCTCAAGTAGGCGACCAGGATGGCGCTGAGAGTGACGCTCTTGCAAGGCATGGGCCACAGCATCTTGCCGTCGTGTGAGAAATGGCGGGTAGGCGCGGTTGTGGGAGAAAGGAAGAGGTGTGGCTAGTCGGCATGGCATGGCGAAGGTTGAAAGACAGGCCAGGAGGGGCGAGCATGTATATGTAAGCAGAAGATAGTAACGTGAATGAGCGAGCCGAAGGGCGGCCCTACAATGGCTGTTATGCCGGATGATGCAAGTCACGAGTCACGAGTCACGAGTCACGAGCCACGAGTCACGAGTCACGAGTCACGAGTGGAGGGAGAGGCATCGACGTGCATCAAGGAAGGTCGATCCCTTTTGCTTGGCGCGCGTGATTCACATTCACATTCAAGATTCAAGATTCTATTCGTGATTTGTGGTTGATTCTCAAATTGATTGCGATTCTACGCGGTGGTGGGCATTCACTCATTCTTGACTTACTATTCATTTCGCGATTGCAGCGCGGGTCACACGCACGATCCAGTGCACGGCTCATGCCATCATTCACAATCACGCATCTTTAGTCCTTCTCATCTGCACCTCTCACACGTCGACTTGGCTGACCAAACGCGTCGACAACCACTTCCATAGCACATTCACTGCACAAACAGTATCAGCGGTGCATTCCAACCAACCGGCTAGCAAGGCACCACCTCAGAGTCCGAACGGCGGTAGAGCTTACAGTTTGGGTCAGGATGGAACAAGCTGGTGGATCTTATCGGATAGGAGCAGCATCCACGATGTCGAAGCCACAGGTACGTGAGGGCAAGCGCATGGAGCCGCAAATCCCAGCGATCTTGTGCTATGCCATGTCCGAGATCGAGGCAACATGAGGCTTTCACATTTTCGTCTTCGTCTTCCCCTTCATCGCGCTGCATTCGCTCCGCTCTTCATGTTGGCGCATACCAAAAACGAAGACGAGCACATCGGTGAAACGTCTCGCTTCGGACGAAAGAGAAGAAGAAGAGGAGGAGCAGGATGAGACACCGCTATACTCCAGGTCTCCTTCACCGGTACTTGACCGGCCGAACAAACATCAGGCAGCGAGCTTGCAGGATTACTTGGCACCTCGCAATGTAGGCCATGCTATGCTGCTCAAGATGGGCTGGGTCGTTGGACAAGGTCTAGGCATCACGGGCCAAGGAAGAGTGGAGCCTGTTCCGATCAGCGAGAAGCGAGGTTCAGATCTGACGGGAATCGGTGAGTGCTCGCGCGCGCGTGTACGTGCATCGCGCGGACGAGGCGGAATGGAAACTGAACACCAGTGTTACTCGTGTCGCTTGTGATGGTCACGCATTCGCGCATTGCAGGGAAGATGTCTTTGGACCTTCGAAACGTGGATGCGTCGGTTGCGCAGCGCAGAGAGATGGCGTCGGAGCGAATGGGTAGAGAGACGGAAGAACAACGATCTCGCAGATTGGTGAGGTGACGCAACGCATAGCTTACGCACACATTCGCTCCTTGCTAGACGTGTTGCGCTTACTCGCGGGTCTTCTACCTGCTTTCCCCCTTTCAGGACGAAGCGGCTCGTATGGCCACGGCAAAAGCTGAAGCAGCGGAAGCAAAGAGCGCGTTCAGATGCGAGCTGTGCGATAAGGGCTACTCCATTCCTTCGGCGTACGAAGCGCATTTGACCTCTTACGATCATCATCACAGGAAGGTGCGTCCCTCTCCACACGCTTGCTAGTGCACAAGGTCTCAAAGCCTTAGCAGCGTAGCTTTGCGCCTCACTCACTAGCGCCTCAAGGAAATGTTGGCGAGCGAGAAGGCGCGGCATGGGGCAGGAGCTACGGACAAACGTAAAGCAAAGGAATCTGCGCGAGAGGCCAAAGAGCTGGCTAGGCTGATGGGTGCCAGCGCACCCACTGGTCGGGCAACGAAGCCTCCTACCACGACGGCTGCCGGCTGGCTAGGGCCTCAGAGCGCTCTGGACAGCGCAGGAGAGGCTTCTGCGAGTAATCCGACATGGCAAGAAACTTCGACGAATGCTTTGACATCGGCTAGGCCTTCTCAAGGTAGAGGCTGGAAGAAGGTAGGATCTGCGAGCGTCTCGAATTTCTCTGGTTCCGCGGTCTCTGCTCCGAACAACTCTTCGGGCGGCGCTGCCAGGCCCTCACACGATCCGGGCGATTCTCATGACATCTACGCCACTGCCTCCTCACGTCTCAGCGCGCCCAAATTCAGGTCGTCCGGCTTCGCAACGCTCGAGACCACCTCGACAAGACGCGAGGAGCGCACTTCGTCGTCCATCCCTACGAAGCTTCCCGCTGGATTTCGACCCGTCGACTCATTCCGACCCCTTTCTGCGCCCAAACAGACCGCAGCATCTTTTGCGCCTGGGCCGTTGCTCGATCGAGCAGATGGACATATCGCGCCAAGTTTGCGTACGAGCGGTGAGAGCGGTCATCAACCTGTGGAGCCTGCTAGTCCTCCTCCACCGCCTCCACCAGAGGATGTGATTCCGCCTGACTTTCTGGTGGAAGATTTCCAAGCTCCGCCTCCCCCGCAGAAATGGGGATGAGATTGGTACTTGCGCGCGCGCTCAAAGCTTTCAACGAATCTCTTGTCGGCCCACTTCTCGTGTCCTGCGTCTGGAGATTGTGGTGCAGACATTGCTTGAGCTGAAAGAGGGCGGTGGGGTCCGAAGAAGAATGTGACACTTAGCTGGTTGAACCCGCGCTCATTGGACTCAGTCGGGATGCCAGGATTCGTGATTGATAGTTCAATCACAATCGGGTGCTTCGATTCGTAATGATTCACGATTGCCATACCATATGAGCGACGGTACGGGCGATCGTCGTTTCCCAGGCACGTCACACGGCACCAGGTAATGAGGTCCGACAATCAAGAGTCTGAGTACACCCGCAGACTGCAGTCGCTCAATGCTCAACTGTATAAGCAGGTTGAGCTTGCCGTGGGTCGCACAGCCACTCGTGACGTGACTTCCCACTCCACTCACATGTGCGCACTCGTGATAGTGCCACAAGTATGACAGCACTACGTGACTTAGCAGACCACTGACTAGCTGCGAGCCTCGCGCCTGACGTACACTCACAACGCGTTTGTAAGGTCACACTTGTGGAAAGCCTCGGCCAGACGTGGGACTAGACCTGCGCTCACTCGCGCCAAGCTGCTCGGTTCGATCATGGCGGGTGTACTTGGATCACGTCAACGGCTGCAGACGATTTCAGTCTTGCGTCTCGTTCATAATCAAGGATACTGCTCTCTCTGATTCAGGTAGCCGCATGACAGCCGCAAGCTGGCCTTCGGAGGCAGCGCTGGCGCAATCTTCAACGAAGAGCCTGACCGAGTCATGACTCACATCGTTGCATTGCATGATGAGCTAGCGCTCTGACGGATTTGAAACAAAGTGGAAGGACTGCGCCCACCTTGCGTTGCTGCGCAGCGTATAATAGATCGCTGCAATCGTGAATACAAAAGTTCTGAGTAGATGTAGCAAACGTGAGTCAGAGTCTGGCTACATATAGAGGTGAGCGACAAGTCGTACCGAGTGCCGGGGCGCCCAATCAAGTGTGCTTGCATGCTGGGAGACGACGACAGGCCGTAGTAGATGTTCTTTCCCTGCTGTCCACGATCACGTACGTATGGATGTATCGTGGGTGATTACATGATGTGATCGTTGCTGGTGATGCACCAGTTGTGATTGATTTGACCAGTCGTGAGTGCGAGGTTTGATGATGTGCTTGAGTTGCGACGATCGCCCTCGGTCTATTTCTTCTCTGACCGTCCTACGCGATTATGTTGCCAGACTGCATGTCTCACTAAGCATACAATAGCATGCGCAACATCAATCAAATAGCTAACGCAGCATCAGCATAGGTTGCTCTTTCGCATCCGTGCTGATTCAAGATTGCACGATGTGTCTGGTACACCGTCCAAAGCAATGCGAGCAACCTCTGGAGCTTGAGGTGTGCCTAACATTCCTTCTCGACTGCATCGTCCTTCACGTCGCCATCCTCGTCCTCTGAACAATCAGCCTCCGTCCAGTCACACTAGCCAATCGTCTTTCAACATCATCAGCTTCACCAGCTTGCACAGCCATGAGCACCTCTCCGACGGCGAGTGAAGCGTCATCTGGAGTGGAGTCAGACACCACTCGAGTAAATCCTTCCAAGAAGCGCAGCAACATGCCAGACTTTGACCCGTTCTCCGTGGCGGTGAGTCGATGTGAGCAGTGATGCACGCAAATCCCACACATACCTGCCGAGCGAGAGGTGAAGTTTCGCTTTGAGCATGCAACTCGACCAAGTCTGAGCTTCACATACTCACGACTAGATTCACGATTCGTGATTGGCCTTTCCTCGTACACGCGACAGCAAAGTCGGTCTTGCTGACCCTCTTTGCTCCTTGCCTCCCGCCTCGATCTCTTTCTGTATGCGCGCTGGCACACGCCTGCATGTAGCCCATGTCTTTGAGAAGTGTGGACAGCGCAGCCAACGAAAAGCCTCGAGGCCCTCCCAAGAAGAAGACCAAGCCTGAAAAGGACGACGAGGGGAACGAAGAAGAAGACAGCAAGCAACAATCGGGCAAGCCGAAGCGAGGTAAAGTCGAAGCTTGGACGGTAGGTCTGCACGCGTTCCAGTCTGGTCGTACTACCACGATGAGCGTCCCAAGCTCACGTCATTCGCTACTCTCTCCAACAGGCGGAGCAAAGGAAAGCGCTTGTTCTCAGCATGTGCGCTTCTAGCTTCTCTCACATGGACTGGAACGAGGTAAGCGCACAGTGTGGGGGAAGGACGGTGCCTCAAGTGAAGATGTACTGGCGCAACGTCCTCAAAGCCAAGCTCGAAAAGGTAAGCGAACGAATGGGAATGACCAACATAGCCACCTCCGATCGGCATGACGCTGAATGCGTGTTTATCGTCACTCGCAGGCACTTGAGGAGATGTAGGATGATCAGTCCTCCAATTCACCAGCGTTCCACTCGCGACTGCACAATCCAACAGCATTCTACGCACTTGAGGGTATCCCAAATCATGCAGTCATCGGCGCAAGGCCCAGCTTCACCCAACGAGCTAGACAGTCTTGTCGATCCCCTTTCGTGACTGATTTTCACGATGATAGCGGGCCCTCGATCAGCATGACGCCCTTCTCCACGAGACTTTTCGTTGCACGCTGTACCTTGCTAGTCTTGTGCACTGTTCGAGCTTGGTCAGCTTTCAGCTTCTCTACACGACTCTGTGTACACGCGTAGAACTCCTGTACCTTCGCGATTCTTGCACCATGGTGACAAATGCCGTCTCAATAAACAGCTTCAAGCCCTTGACCCAATTGCAAGTAGCGCAGCTGTACGTGGTACAGAGCGGTTGCTTTGCGGCCTCGGTGATGCGCAAGTCCACAGCTACGAGACGCAGCAGTCATGCGTATGAAGCAAAGTCACAGCTATAGCCGAACGATCTTTGCAACAGGCACTGTAGAATCCTAAAGGGAACGGAAATCTGAGTCATGTTTAGGCGTATATATGTATGGTAGGTTGGATGTTACAAGATGAGCCCGCTGCCCGCATGGATCTTTATTGCCTCGGACCCTTCTGATGCGAATTCGTGTATTTGAAAAAAAAAAAAAAA